TTAAAGTTATATTAACTTTTATTAATAATATATTAAGAATTATAAAAAGTTATTTATATTATTAATTAATTTTATTAAAAAGGATTAACTTTTTAAATAAGGAAAAGAAAAATAAAATATATTTAATAAAATTAAAAAATAAGTTTTTTTAAAACTTATATTTATAAAAGTAAACTTTAAAAAAGTTTATAATATAGGTATTAATGCTTTAAACTTTATTATTAAAGGAAAATTAGAATAATATAATAAATAAAAATAATTTTACTTTATTATATTTTTTTTATAAAAACTTAATAAACTTAAACTAAACTATTTAATATATAATAAGGAATTAATAGTAATTATTAAAGTATTTAAAAAATAGGAATATTATTTAATTAAAGTAAAATATTAAATATAAATATTTATAAATTATAAAAACTTAATATATTTTATAATTATTAAGAAATTTAATAAATAGTAAATTTAATAGTTAAAATACTTTTTATAGTTTAATACTAAAATTATATATTAAAAAGGATTTAAAAATAAAAAAGTAAATACTTTTAGTAAATAGTTAGATTATTAATAAAAAGTTTTACTTAAAACTTATATAGTATTTTATAAAAATCTAAATAAAAGCTTAAATATAAAATATTTAAAAAGGTAGTTTATTATAAATTAATTAAAAAATAACTTATTAAAGTAATAAATTATAATAGCTTATTAAGTATAATTTATTATAAATTAACTTAATTAAGTAAAATAAAGCTATAAAAATATTCTAAGTAATAAAAAGAAGTAGCTATAAAATATAAATAAAACCCTATTTTATAAAGGAAAATATTACTTTTTAATAGCTTTTTAAAAAAAAGTTATTAAAAAACTTTATAAAGTATTAGTATATAGCTATTAAAGTATTTAAGCTATATATTTAAAGCTAAAATAATATTAGAACTTTTTTAATATAAGATAAAAAGTAGCCTAAATTATTAATAAATATAACTTTTATAATAAAAGTAAGCTTATAAAATATAAGCTATATAAGCTATTATAATTATTATTAATACTAAATAAATTATAAAAATTAATTAGCTTAAACTTTATTATTAAGCTTTTTTTATTTAAAGAATTAATAATAAAAGTTAGCTATAATAGTATTTTAGTTATAATAGATAAATTTATAAAATATATATACTTTATACTTTATAAAAAAGCTAGTATAGTAAAAGAACTTATTTATATATTTTTTAAAATAATTATTAGCTAATATAAGCTATTAAATAAGATTATATCTAATTAAAATAAACTATTTATATTAAACTTTTAATTTTTTTTAATAAAATAATTAAAAGCTAAATATAGATTTTTAATAATAGTATATTTATAAATAAATAGGTAAATAAAATAATTTAACTAAATATTAAAATAATATATATATTATTATATTAATTATTAATAAAATAATTAAGTATTATTGCTATTATTAGTATAATTTATATATAATAGTATAAATATATATATTATTAATATTTTATTATTTTATATTAATTATAAATTTAATTTAGATATTTATTAATACCTAATTTTTAATATAAAAGTATTATAGGCTATTAATTATATAAAATAAATTAAAGATATTTATAGAAAAATTATAGTAAATTTAGAATTTATTTAAAAATATATAGTAAAATAGGTAAATTAATAAAAGTTAAAAGGATTAATTTTTAAAAAAGAAAATATAGTTTATTTATTTTATAAAAAATAAATTAAAATTAAGTAATTTAGTAATAAATTTAACTTTAAAAAGATTAAACTATTTAAAATTAAAGAAAAAATATTAAAAATAAATTATAAATTTGTGCTATTAAAAGAAATAAAAATCTATTTAGTTTTTTATATTTTTATATTAAAACTTATATTAGCTAATATAATATTAGCTATTAGTATTAAGCTTAATAATTATAAATTAAAATATAAGGTAAAATGTATTTTAAATTATTAAATATATAGGAAAATAATGGAATATTTAGTTAAATAGGAGAATTATAGTAATAAAAATAATTTATAAAAACTTATTTAAAACTTAATAAACTATTAAAAGGTATTTTAAATATATTATTAAATAACTAGCTAGAAAAATCTATATTAATAGATTTTATTATAAAACTTTAATCTATAATATTAAAACTTTTATTTTATTAAATATTAAAAATAGCTTTAAACTTTTTAGCTATAACTTAGTTAATAGCTTTAGTATAATTAGCCTTTTTAAATATATTTAAAGTAGTTAAACCTTTATTTACTAAATTAGCTTTATAATAAATTAAAGATTCCTTTTAATAATGTAAATAATTTAAATAGGCTATTACCTTATTTACTTAATAATAAGCTTTATATAAAGCTTTTTAAGCTTTAAGCTTTTAAAAATGTAACTTTTTTTTTTTTATAATAATCTAAAATACTAAAAAAATAGTTAAAAAAAAGAAAATAAAAAAATAAGAAAAACTAGAACTTATAAGCACTTATTAGTACTTTAAAGCTATTATACCTTTTGTCTTATTTAATATAAGCAGAATAATAAAAAATATTTTTTATTATTTAATAAAACTACCTTTTTATAGAATAAAACGAATAAAGTATAATTTTAAAGCTTAATAATTTAATAAATATAAATAATTAATTATGCTAATCCGATTTCTTAAAATATAGTTTTTCTATATATAATAATATAATTATTAGTAGAATAAATATAATAAATATATAAAAGGAAATAAAAGAGAAAAAAACTTATTTAAGTTTTTTAAGAATAAAAAAGCAATAAAGGAGGGAAATAATATTATAAATATAATAAAAATAAAACTAAAAGAGTATTATTAGTTCCTTAAAAGCGTAGATAAACCCTATAAGCTAGTAAAGTAAGCTTAAAAAGATTTACTATATAATAAAAATAAGTTATATAATAAAGTAAAAGGATAATTAAGATAACTAAAGCAATGTTTTACTTTAAATAATTTAAATAATCTAATGCTTTTATTGCTTTAAATAAGCAACGCTTTAAATAAACTATTAAAAGTAATGCTCTTATTGCTTTAGCTAAAGAGATAAACTATATAAATTATGCTTATTATTAGTAAATAGTATTAGCTTAGGATAGCTTTTTAATAGTTAATCTAAGTATTTACTTAAAATAGCTATAAAGCTTTTAATTTACTATTATTATATATTGCTTAAAATATTACTACTTTAAATATTCCTTAAATATAAACCCGCTTACTAAGTTTATCAGCTAGGAACTAGCTGTGATTATCACATATTGCTTTTTATAGTTTTAATATTAATAATTTAAAAATTATATTGAATACTTTAGTTTTTAAATATTTAAAATATTTAGGTAAAATTCTTTATTATTTAGCTTTTAATAAATGTAAATAAATATATATATGGTTAATAGTAAAGGGTAATTTTGATTATATAGATAAGGAGTAATTTATAATAGTTAGTGCTAAAAGTAGTATTTATAATAAGGAAAAGTAATTAGTTAGGATTTTAAAAATAGATAGTCTTTATAGGAAAAAATAATATATGCTTAATACAATAATAATTATTTATTGATATATTAACTGGATAACTTTGTTTAGTTAAGTTATTTAGAAAACATTTAATAAGCAGGTATTTTTAAAAATTTTAGTAATTAAGAATTTTATATTAATTATTAATATTTTATATAGTTATTTATAAATAAGGGATTTATTATAAAGAATTAATAATAAAAAAAGATAAGTAGAATTAGTAGATTTGAAAATTATATTGCTTTTAATAATATAGTAAAAGGGCAGTTTTTATAAAAAAATATTTACTAAGTAATTTAAATAGTTAATAATTATATAGATCTTATTAGCTACTTTTAATAATAAATATACTTATAAGGCTATTAATAAATAAAAAAGATATAAATAATAAATAAGATATATTTATATTAAGTTTTATTTTTTTAATTATAAAGGAAAAAGGATAATTAATTTTGATTAATTTAGATAGCTTTTTAGGTTTATATTAACTTTTTTTTATTGCTTTTTTATATTATTGTTTATATTCTTTTAAATATTTTTTAAACCTTTTAATTACTTTTTTTTTATAATATTTAGCCTAACTAAAAAATATATATTAGATAGTAATATAATATTAGGTAAAATCTTTTTAAATTTAAGTAATATTAACTATATATTTTTTATATTTAGTTTAAAAGTTAAATAAATTTTAGAAAATTAGATTTTAATTAACTTTATAGGTATTATTATAAGGATTATAATTTTTAAACTTTAAGCTAATAGGAAGATATTAAAACTATTTACTTTTTAAGGTAATTTAATAAGCTATTACTAATTTATATTCTATTTTACTTATTAAAGTATTAATTAATATAAAAATATGTTTATATAAATAAAATTTTATTTTTTTAATATTAATAAGCTAAGGTTAAGTTGGTTATTAATTTAGTAATGTTAGTAGTTAAAAGATATTAGGAAAAAAAAATAAAAGTTTTATTTTAGTTTTATAATAATTAAGGAATGCTATTTTATATAATATATTAGGTTAGCTATTAAATAGGTAGAATATAATATAACTAGGTATATAGTTTAAAATAATAAAAAGTAAGGTAGGTATATAAAAAGTAAGGTAAATAGGCTAAAGTTATTAAAAAAAAGAAAAATATTTAAATATAGGAAATTAATTTTTTTAATATACTTTATATAAATATAGTAAATATAAAATTTATATATTATATAAAGTAGAGTAGGGTAGTTTTATAATTAGTTAGCGAAGTATATAGTTTTATTAGTAAAGTTTATTTAAAATTATATACTGGGTAGGCTAAATGAAAGAGCTAGGTGGGCTGTTGTGAAAAACTGGGTGAGCTACTTATGGCTGCTTGAAAAGTATGCGTGAAATCGATTAGCAGCTTCACGTGTTTCAGCGTTGAGCTGCTGAGACTTGGCGACTTTTTTCAGTTGACAAGCATGGAACTGTATGGCCTAAAGCGGCTGACATTATACCTGGGAAATCTTCTCACGGAAATCTGCAACATCAACACCTCCGACGCAGCGAACAAGACACGATTTAAACAAGAGACGGAGTTTCCCCAGCGCTTTTGCGATGCCGTCATGAACGCATTTGACAAGGCTAGGCCAGTCGAGCCTGCGCAAAAAGTCTTCGCGGACTTTGCCTTCGCTGGTCGTACTCATTTGTTCAAGAACAAGGAATTTATGTCTTTGGTCAAAGATCAAGTGGTACCCGAATTTGGAAACCTTGTTCTCACGGCGCTTATGACTGGGTCCGTATCAAATGCCTTCCAGAGCAACTATACTTTTGGCAAGTGGCAAGACCGGCAAGTCAACCCCTCGTACACTCCAATTGGCTCAAATGACTCGCCCACCAATGCCGGTTGGGGTCGTGGACGTGACGGACGTGACGGACGTAGCGGACGTGTTGGACGTGGTGGCTATGGATGGGGCTAATTATGAGGCTTTCTACCAGGCAGGGTTGTAGGATCGCGGCACCAAGACTTACTAGAAGAGCACCTAGACCACCAGAAGTCACTGGGATCAACACAAACAGTCGATTCAGGCAAACCTAACATTTTTCTCTCGCATATTGCACCAATTGCCTTGATTGTTTAGCTCTATCCGAGGGCAAGTCCTCAAGACTACTTCATCTTTACTTACCAAGCTTAATTATTACTTCACAGTCTCAATCGTGCTGGGCCCTGTAACTTTGCGTCCCAAACCGAATCCACTGCGACAACGTCGTCGTAGCGAACACATATCACGACAAGTATTTCCTTACCACGATTCAACCTAGTTGAGTCAGGCTTACTGCGTAGATAATCAATGGAAACATATAGCTCTGAATAGCCTGCAGCCATTCAACGGACTCAGTTACATAGGTGTGCGTATTTAAAAGAATGTGGTTGATTGATTGCGTATGGCAAAGACCGTGGCTTTGAAAGCAACGCCTCTTTTAAGGGCAACTGGTCAGGGCGACTCGTTATGACCTAAGCCCGAAAATTACCTAGGTACCCCACGCTCTGCAACAATGCCCAAGACACCTCATCAGTCTAATCCACGATATCCTGAAGTCCGGTATGACCTGTCTGGCTCACTAATCCGAATCCTGGATCGCCCATGTAGCGAGAAATCTGGGACACGGTCGGAGGGAATCCGCCAGTCATGTCGAGAGGCTCCTTGGGGTTGACAAGGCCGTCCTTCCACTGCTCGAACGCCTTGTTGCCATTGAAGGCCGAGGAGCGTGGGCCAATCATCATGGCGCTCAGGAGGTCGTTTCCGAACTTGGGGATCTCCTCCTTCAGGTCCCTGATCTTCTCGTTCTTGAAGGTGTGGATCCGGGCGGCGTAGACAAAGTCAACGTAGACAGCATCAATGCCGGACGGGATAGCGTACGCAGCACGGATAGCAGTGCACAGACGGTCGACGAAGCCCTCCTCCTCAAATAGGCGAAATTGAGAGCCACGGAGGGAGGCTGGAGTACGTCTGGTCTGAGGCTCGCCATTCATCAGGACAGCGTGGTAGCGTTGGACGGGGTACTCAGCGGGGAGGTCTGCCAGATTGCCCATCTGGCAGATGGCCGACAGGTGCTTGCCGAGGTACTGGCCTAGGACTTGGTTGGCATAGGTCTTCATCTCGTCAATCAGGTAGAAATCTCCAAGGACCGACAGCTCGTTGGCCATGAGCATCAGATCGGCGTCGGCGGCATCGCTCAGGTCGACTGCGCCGCTGTAGAGGAACTCGAGGACTCGCTCGACGTTGTCCGGGGCGCTGATCTCGACAACACTAGTCTGGCCCTCCTTTAGAGCAGAAGTTAGCCAAGTTAACCATAGAGTTGTGGCACAGAGGAGCCATCAGAGTACTTACAGTAAAGCCACCTTCGAAGGCAGCACGGAACCACTTGCTGCGGTTGCAGACCACGACTTTGTGCACATTGTAGGTCTTGCCGTTTGCAATGACCTTGGCGTCGGCATACTTGCCGGACTTGAAGGCCTCCACGTCGGCGGAAGAGAAGCGCGTAGCGGGAACGGCGGCGGCGAGGTTCTGTTGCTTGACAATGGGCGTCTCGGCACCAGACTCGAGTGTCGACGGGAGGGACTCGGTGGTAAGTGGGTAGCCGTCAGCGGACGGGGAGACTAGCACACGGCGATGGCGACGGCGACGGCCCTCAGCGACACGGTTGCCGTCTTGGCGCTGAGGGTGGGAGGGCACGACTAGGTTAGACGACATGCTGGCGAATTGAACACCTGCAGAACGGTGATCCTGAGTCCCAGTGAGGATTGACGAAGACGAGGAAGAAGTGAGAGAGAGTTGAGCATGGAAAAATGTTGACAGTGGGGCTGCACACGGTGAAGGTCAAATGGTTTGTTTGCTGACTTGGGATGAAAACTCACTTTGCAGAGCTGGAGGCCACAAAGAACAAATTATTAATTTCTGCATGTAAAAGGTCGTTCTACAGGCAATCATCCTACAGGACATTATCCTATTGCGGTCATCCCAAGAAAGGTTGTCCCAAGAGAAATCATTCCTTACGGCAGATTATCTCATTGCTGGTTATCCTATAACTGCTTATTCAAAATATGATTAGCCTACAGGAGCTCTATTTTCTTCTGACCGCCTCTATCTATTTTACATATCACAAAGATATCTTAGCCTCAAAACCCATAACCGAACTTTAAGTTTATTTTAGGTTATAGAACAGATCGAGTACCGCAAAGCATATTGAATCATCTTGTAATACCAATCACCAGTGTGCAAGGGCTTGCTACTTGTCTAACCCATGTCAGGGTTGGGAACTAAGGATAATATTTGCATTGAAAAAAGGACTTGGGACCTGACTGTTTAGCCCTAAGTGTAAAACGTTCAAAGCGCGGCAGAGATTGAAAGCCAACTAATCCACTAGACCCCAAAAGCCACCGCCAATGTGCAATACGAAAGTCAGCGCCAAAACCGGTCCGGTGAAGCATGTAATTGATCCCTAAAGTCTATGTAGGTAGGAATCCGCACCAAAAGTGACCCAACAAGAAAAGCCCGCTACTCCTCAGTGTCATCGAAAACTCGCCACGAAACGCCAGCGCCCTGTCCCTGGTCCATGCTCTGAGCACACTCCTCGCAGCAGACCTGTTGGTATCTCTGAGGGAACCTCACTCCAGACCACGGATTGAAGACGACCCTGTCCTCCTTGGAGACACCCTCTCCGCAGCCAACGCACTTCCGACGCCTCTGGATTTCCTTCTCAGGCTTGACCATTAGATTCTTCATCCATGTAGTGTGATAAGTCCCGCGGAATTGGGCCAAAAACACCTCCTTCACGAAGCTGCTGGGTAGACTATCCTCGCTGACATCCCAACGAAGTGTTGGGTCACGAAAGAGCACGTCCCTGCCAACAACGGCAAAATCGACGAGCATGAATAATGGAAGCTTGCGGTCCGCCAGGCAGACCTTTTCAGCTTCGTTGATTCCGGCCTCGAAGTCTTCGATAAATTTGTTTCGGCCTACGGCTTTCACGGCCTCTGAGAAAGGATAGATGCAAATCTCATTCAACTTCCGGCTTAAATAGAAGCCCAAGTGTTTCTCGGCGTATTTCGTGAGGTCAGGAATTTCGAAGTCATGGCCAAGGTTGTAGAGTAGGATGCAGTTTTGAATCAGTGGCTGGTCGGTAGAAGGGTATTCGACGATCTCGATCATTCCAGCTCCGTAAATGAATTCGAGGACGAGTTTGATGTCATTTGCGCTATGTGGTTCCATAGTAATGACTTTCCTTTTGTCTTTCTTCCCCGATACCTGTCCAACTACGGTCAGCGAATGTGTGAGGTGGGTGATTCAGAGCGAAATACCTTGTCGGTGTTCAATATCTTGTTGAAGTGGCCACTTCTAGAAACCAGAATTGCTCAGTGAAGAGTGAATCTGGTGTCCTCTGCGATCAAGGTGCAATCTGACTGGTCTCCATTTTGGAGGATGCGGAGGTCTCCCCTCAACTTGAATTTCTGTCTCTTGGGACTCGGCTCGGCGCCATCGCTTTCTCGCTTTGCAGACATCTTGTTGGCTGACTTTGAGTACCCGGATCGATCACCTGTTTGAGAAATAAGGAAATGGTGAAAGACGAGGGAATGGGTTGACTCACTCAGGAAAAGGATGGTCTAGTTTGAGTCAGAAGAAAGTTGCCGAAGGAGGTGATCTGAGAATGGCAGGCAGACGGGGACATACAGGTAAGGTGATGGCCTCCGTGAGCAACTTCTCCACCAGCTTTTCTCAAAGTAACAACTGCTAGCTTGAAAGTACCTAGACACCAACTCGAGCTAAAAGAATATTGTAAAGCTGAAGAGAGTCAAGTACTCGATTTCAATGCAGTAATTTGCGATTAAAGAGTAGCACACACTCTCCTGTGATTTGGGGAAGGTAGTGGTTGGATGGTTTTTGTCGGCTGACGTTGCAACTGACTCGAAAGTTCAGTGTAAGTTGAATGGGTCAAAATGGACAGTGGAGAGTGAAGTCAGCCCTGGATTGCGTAGAGTAATGTGATCAGGGCGCTTCCAAGGTCCTTCCGTCTTTCCGATCCTAAATCATGACTTCCGATGTTGTGGGAAACGATGTAGCCGGGATGAGCTATTTCAGATGGGGAATTCAAACCAAGGTATCTGAAAAAGAATGCCAAATTCAATCTTAACGTCAGAAGGGACCTTGAAAATCTCTTTCTTGGGAGACTTGAGTTGAATGTAAATCTATGGGCGTTGGGTGTAAAGTACAAAATCTAAAGTAAGGTCGTAATCACAGTCCTTTCTAAGAAGCGGCATCCACCCACCTCTCCATCTTCGCCTTTCCAAAGGTGACCTCCAGCAGAGACTTTGTAAATTCATCAACATCCTCCGGCCTAGCATTGTCCAAGAAACTCTCTATCTCATGTGGAGTATTCATCGACACATCCCTCTCCCTACACATCTTATTCCACGCATGGCTCGATGGCGCGTCCCAGACACCAGCCACAGCTGTGAACGACAGTGCACCGGGACAGATCGCCCAGCCCTGCAGGACGACAGTGTAGACGATGTGTATCCCCTGAGCGAAGATCCATGTCCGGCGCACCGACTCGCCGAAGATCCACGTGTGCCACATTATCTCCTCCTGCGAGGTGGGGCACGTGGCGGCGGGCGGCGTCGCGCCCGGGGTCGCGGCACTCATGATGTCCACGACGCCGAGCCCGAGGCCCCTCGCGGCCGTCAGCGCCCCGGTCGTGCCGGCGGGGGTGAGCTGGGACGCGAAGGCGACGCTCTCGAGCATCTGCTTGAGCCAGGCCATCATGACTGGCACTCGTTCCTCAGCGAGGGCGCGCAGGTGGATGTTCCCGTCGAGGAGGCAGATGATCTGATATGTGAGGAGGGCTTGGACCCTGGAGAGATGGCCGAAGGGGTCGAGGCTGCTCGATGTCTTGTGGTTCTCTTCGTCTTTGAGGAGCTGCTTCGACCGCTCTTCTATTGTTCGGTGCACCATGTCCTCGTTCTCTTCGGTCCTCAACATGTATAGCGCAACAGACGTGTACGCATCTTGCACTATCCTCGGTAGCCTGAAAGAATAGAGCTGTTTGTGGATGAAGGTGTTGCCACCTGTCGAGATCCAGTCTGACAGCCAGCCTTGGCCTTGTGTAAGGAAAGTCTTGAGTGCGACGCGGCTGTAGGGGGATGGAGGCATCGGGGTTTCTCGATAATGTGGCAAGTCGTTCTCTATATTCCACGACTCTGGTGACATAAACCAATCGATACTAAGCTGCTTCGCAGGTGTGGATGAGAGTAGTGCTGTGGGCCGAGCCAACTCGAGCTCCGTAGTGGGCCGAGGTATGGCACCGAATTGAGAATTTGGGGGAAATGAGAGCAGTAAATTCGGGTCCCAGAGATCGGCTGGCCTTTCAATTTCCCTCGTGACCATGGCGGTGGGTGGTTGGACTGGCACAGGAGCGTCCTGCAGCCGTACAAACGAGCTTGGTCTGGTTGGGAGTGGATAGATACACTCGAGGTCCCGTGACGCGCAGCGGTGACATCGTGGGCTCTCCTTTCCGCACTTCCGCTTTGATTTGGCGCATGACTCGCAAGCTTTTACCTCGGGAACGACCTCCATCGCTGATATTGAATATGTGAGTATATGTTGAAAAGAAGTCTTGCGACCCGCGGGCGGTCGGGCGGACGCTGAAGTTGAAGTCGAAGTCGTGCGGACTTGGACGGCCGCCAAGGCGGAGCCCGGTGGGAAAGATGCCATTTTAGGTTGGCTTCCGCGGACGCCAACCGGTTTGAGTAAGATCGTCTCGCATTTGAGCTCCGGGTAGGCTGTAACTCAACTTGTCGTTATGCTCTATTGAAGCCATGCATTGGCCTATCACCCCCTTATTCAAATGACTTCTGGCTCGGGAGGATCTGATGGAAGACGGGCGGATGATAGATTTTATGGATATTATTGAGTGATTTGTGATCGAATCATTGGGAATAAGGTTGTTCCTAAGGCACTGGTTTTGAAAAGTGCTCGGAGTTTGGACATTGTTAGAAGCCCGCCGCGGACACGCTTCGCACATACATAGAACCAGGCCGCCTAGCATTGCTTACTATTCAACATTTAAAATCGCTAATTATGGCCTCGAGTTTTATCTCTGATCTGGACATCGCAAAAGTGCGTCGCACTTTTTCGTTAATTGAGAACGCTCATCAGCTGCAAGGTCTTAATGGACTGAAAAGTGAGATGCCCACGGTAATGGATGATGGCTTACATGCAAAACCTGTGCAATGATTACCATACTCCTCTAGAGAGTATTTATTGGTCAGTTTGTCATTTGATGTGTCCTTCGTCTTCCCCCTCTCCCAGGACTGGACCCAGAGCGAATGAAGGGCATCACGACGACCGCACACTCTTGCCAAGTCAGGCTTGGTATCAAGCAAAAGAATTCGTCGCGGCCGAAGATAATTCCCTTTCCAGTTTTCCAAACCACCCGCAAAGGACGTCGAGCCGGTTCTCAATGGATGATGCTTACCCGCGAAGGCCTTATTCAGAGCTACATCAACATATAGAACTTGACCTTGTACAGCGCCGCGAGGCGAAAGATTGCATGCCTAATGGATGTGTAGGTACGGCTTATAGTTGAGGTCCACTACACCGAAGCCCTTGGTCGTCAAATAGGAGCGCTGACTGCGCGAGTCAGCGCCGACTATCTCAAACACGTCTCTCCCGCTGAATTGATATGTTGCTATTTTCTGCTGTGGTTTCGATTTGCAGAAAGTCTTATAAATGTATCTTCTGACTCGTCCCGACCTCCTCATTCGCAACTGACAGCCATCAAGAAACTACAACAGGAAGGCTAGGCTGGATATGTCCAGCTGGAATTGGAGGTCAGGCGGGGTTTACGTGCTGATTTACAATGTGATTTTGAAATGAGTGAAGCGAGATTATTACTCCTTGGAAACCTCATACTGACCGTGATTGCTTTTTTGGCCGAAATGAGCAGTTGATGTGTTTATTGCAAAGGAAGCCATTATGAGTACAATGTTCGGGTTGCCAGTCTGTATCGAATCAGCGTACGAAACGAACATAACGAGATTTACATAAAGGCTCTGAACGGGCGAAATGTTACTGAAAAGGACAATACTGCATGCGTGGACCAAGGAGATTGTGAAGAGATGTGATGGAAACATGGTCATGGTCAGAGTAGTGGCAACAAGATTTCACAGTTCCTACACCTAATCAGATTAGCCTACAAGCGGCTTTGCATTGGAACCAGTCGGAATACCTGAGATTGGTAACTTAAGAGCTACTACCATGGAATTTGTTTTGAGACTTCAAGGCCCGTGATTGAAGGGTGAAGGCTGTTTGAGCCATTGGGCAGTGCATAGAGACTTGGCGAGGTTCTGGCTCAAGAGCTAAGTAATTCCATACGGCTCACTGTTCAGAATAGACATCAGGCACAGACATGCTCTACGAAGTGCCCGTGCATTCAGAGAAAATGATTTTTTTGGGGGGGGGGGGGATTGTGCTGTGTGTGGTGCTTAATAGACACGAATGTGGTGACTGGCATCCATCTTGAGGTCATCAGCGCGGATGCAAAGCAGATCGCTAAGACACATCACGAACTTGAGCTGGAGATAAATCGAGCGAGGAGTCCACGATGATCATGAACGGGAAGGCTTGCATGAGTTGAGTTCTTGGAGGCCATCAAATATATCTACCTAGATTATTGGGCTAGACAATGGTGGTGAGTCTCTCCTGTATCTCTGGAGATGGCGATGCCATCCTCTTGGGTACATATAACCATGCCCAACCCATGAGGCGCAGTGGAAAACAAATTATGATTTTTGAATGCGACGTTATGATATGAGCCGGCTTGAGGCCGTGCCATGCCATCTTCTGCAGGCCTCGTGATGCTGGTCACACCTGCCAAGGCGAGCCGTCGCCGTTGCGCAGGGGGATCTCGAGGTGAGCTTCCCTGCTTTGATTCACAATGACGCAACCAGCCACCGCGGGCGCCAACGTCGATTTCCATGGCAGACTCAATTCCTTGGCCGGCTGCCTCAACAGTCCTTCACATAAACCGTATATCAACCATCCACTTGCCCACCTAAATGTCCTTGGCGCGACCCTGAGTAAACTTTATCTGCACACAAACCTAGAACTCTGCCGAAGCAACGAACACCAAGGATTGCCACTTACGCCGCTTTGATAAATAAAGGTACATTTCCTTCCCACCAAACCTCTCTTCAATTACCCACCACCTTTCAGCATTGCTGACTCCTCAATTGATTTGCAGAACAAACCATTCAGACTCCTCGACTTTATTCAAGAGCAAAATGCCCTTCTTCTACTCAAAAGGCTTCGGCGGAAAGCACTTCGGCACGAACGTCACCGCAGACCGCCACGGCGTGCGTCGCGGGCCCTGGCGCTTCTCCCTCGGCCGGTTCAACTGCTTCAAGTAGCGGAGAGGCAATATCAGCGGTGGCGTTCACGGGGGGCATGTCCACGGCAGCGCTTCCCTCCCGCGGGTGAGGAGGAGGAGGCGTCTCCGAGTGTGAGACTTGACGCATTTGCACATGTGGAACATGGCGGAGGAATGACGAGATTATACGACATGATACGACACGACACGATGCACCATACAAAGTTACACAGCGAGAAGCGGAGGATGGCCGGGAGGACCATAGGACAGGATAAAAGGAACTTTGCCAAGTTGAAACACTCTGGTCGCCTCTGGTGATGTTCGCTTCTGCAATTAGTTTCTATGGACGGTGGCATTCCTCATTGTCTATTGCGGCTCGCTGTCAATGTTGAGGGGGACAGTTTTGCACTTCTAGTCCGCCCAAGAACAAGGCAACATGTTCACACATGCGACGATTCAGAGAGTGTCCCATGGTCTATTGGGCTAGCTCACTTTCCGATTCCGAAGATCGACATCGCTTTTGTTTTGACACTGGTCAGACGGTCCTTCTACGGATAAGTGGGTGGGAATTCGTTGAGACTTGTGCACATGGGCCGAAAGGGAGGTTCTGTCTGCAGTCCAACAGCTAGGCATAATTAATACAGAAAAACCCATCTGAGCAGCAAACAAAGCTTCTCATTGACCACGCAGTATAGCGTCTGCAATCTTCTCAGCAAGCATGTACACGGTGCTCTGCGGGTTCGCCGGGATGGCAAAAGGGAACGCGCTGGCGTCCACCACGCGCAGGCCCTCAACGCCAAACACCCTCGCCTGGGAATCGACCACGGCCATTGGGTCTGCAGCACCGCCCTTGCCCATCTTGCAGGTGCCGCTCGCGTGCCACACGGTCGACGCCGTCTGGCGGATGTACGCCAGGATCTGCTCGTCCGTCACCGCATCCGCGCCCGGCGCGATTTCCGGCCCGACGCGGACGGGGTCCAGAGACGGGTCGGCCCAGGCCTCGCGGCACCGCCTGAGCGCCGCCACGGCGACCTCGGCGTCGGCTGGGTCCGTGAGCCAGCCCAGGTCGATGATGGGGGCGTCCTTCATGCTTGCGGAGCTGATAGAGACGTTGCCTCGGGACAGGGGCGCCGTCAGGGTGGCGCTAACAATGCCGATGGTTGAGTTTGAGGCCACGAAGCCGAAGGGGATGTACTGCACCTCGGGCCAGTCTGGCGGGAAAGTGCCGAGCTTTTCCTCGGTGGCCTGGGAGAAGTTGCTGCGTAGCGAATCGGGTATCTTCTCGAAGGAAAAGTAGCCCCCCGCCTGGCTGTATGGTCCGGCTTGATCGTTGTGATAGTCTGCTAGGGTGGCTTGTCTGATGGATGGATCAGGTGAATCGACGAACGTGCCCCCTGTGGGTGTGTTCACGCCTTGCAGGACGTTGAAGCTTACTTGGTCCCAGAGGTTCTGGCCTACGCCGGGGAGGTCGCTAATGACCGGTATCCCATAAGACTGGAGGATTTCACTGGGCCCAATACCTTGATGAAGATGGGTGTTAGAGCCAGACGTATACACTATGAGAGGGAGAAAGAGGGAGAGACTCCCGCGTGAAAGACCGACTTTCACAGACTTACCCGAGACCATCAAAAGCTGTGGGGAATGGAAAACACCCCCTGAGAGGATGACTTCTCTCCCAGCACTCAGCGTGTGTTCCGACCCCTGAGTATCTACAGATACCCCCATAGCTTTTCCTTGCACGAATAGAATCTTGGTTGCCTGCGTGTGTGAGTACACGGTGATATTGGTCTCCCGGACCGCCTCCTGCAGATAACTCGTCTGAGACGACGAGCGACTGGCGTCTCGCGGGTCGATCGTAGACGTGGTCCAGCCGCCCAATCCAGCCAGATATCCGCTGTTCAAGCCTTTGGGAGCAATCGGCATGCCAATGGCTTGCAACCCCAGCGCGAGCCATGAGGTGGTAGGGTCGACCCAGTTGCCAAAGGACACCTGCAGCGGCCCCGACGCGGAAGCAGAAGCAGCAGCATCACCATCACCATCATCACCGCCGAACGCGTCCGGGTCCCAAGTCGGCGTCGCGTTCGCCGCGTTGCGCTTCTCCAGGTCGGGCGGCGTGAAGCGGCAGCCCGCGCGGAAGAAGGGCAGCACGCCGTCCCAGCGGTAGCTCCCGTCGCCGGCCTCGTCCGCCCACCGGTCGTGCGCGCCCCTGGACGCGCGCACGTACGCCAGCGTGTTGAGCGCCGAGCTGCCCCCGAGCGTCTTGCCGCGGGCGTAGTGGACCGGCCGCCCGCCCGCGCCCTGCTGCGGCACCGAGACCAGGTCCCAGTCGACCAGGGGCTCGCGCTGGTACGTGGCCGGGTCGGTCCCGAGGACGGGCAGGCTCAGCGCGTAGTAGGGCACGACGCTCTGATTCCCCGTGTCGGCCTGGTAGCTGCCGCCGGCCTCGATCACGGCGACGGTGAAGTGAGGGGCGAGGCGAGCTGCGATTGCGAGGCCGGCTGTTCCTCCGCCGACGACTGTACAGGAGGCGGTCAGAACGAGAGGCTTAGGTTGTCACTTTGTAAAGGTGGCCTCGTAAGAAGCATCTTAGCAGGAACATTAAAACTTGCCTACGTAGTCGTAAGTTGCATTTTCCCGGGTATGGGTGCTGCACTCGACTGCAGACGCCCCAAGTATTACGACCTGTAAGAAGCGAAACCACATTATCTTGCGCAACTTAATGCGTATCTGGTGGATTCATGCATAGGAAAGGTCAATTGTTTGATCCCTTTTACTATACTTATAAGCTCAGAGCCCCCTGCTGAAATACAGCGCTAGAGTTCCAATAGCTCATCCTTCTGATGATGGTTTCAATTAACGATGTTACCTTTCAAACTGTCAGCTTTCCCCCAGAGTCCCACTTTTCAGGGGTAACTTATTAGATAGTCGATATAAGTGAACCTTTTTCCCTTGAGTCCCATGTAAGTAAGACAGGCTCCCACAATTTTTTTACTTTTTTTTCAGCTTTCCACTCTTGCTACCGTCTGTGTATAAGGAAGCTCACTGATGGTGAGTGTCATCACACCTTCCGTAACATGTAAGGATACTGGGCCGATTCCACCGACTATTTTAAATTTGTTCCTGTGTAGTAGCTTAGCGATCTACCGATGGAGTAGCAGCAGATTTCCGGAACCCATGCACCTCGGAGGGAAAACTATGGGACCTGAAAGTCAGAGGGTGTTTCTGGCTTCGAGGCTTTGTTCTGTTCATAGGCATATTCACGAGACGAAAGTGATTGAAGTTACAAAGAAATAGAATTATGTAGGCCAGATGCTAGGTTGGATTGTCTACAAGCCAAAGAATACGAGGCTAATCTATCGCCATTATAAGGCGGGCGAGACTTGATAGGAAATGCAAATCCTGCAGGTCGACAAATGCCATATCAAAGAATCGTCCCGCTGTATGATATACCTCGATACCTAGTGAATCACATCACATGAATAACGTTGAAGTATACAAATTTAGAGACCTGAATGAACGTAACAATTCCCGGCATACTTGGAAGAAACACAATTCCCTACGCATAACTTCGAGGATCACCTCTTCCTCGACACCAAAAGAACCATACTTGGCCGAAGCAAGCGTTTTGATATGAGAGCTAAAACAATCCGCAATCCCGCAGTCAGTCCAATTAGCATCTCGTATTTCGCGCGCATCAAAGCCGATCGGGAGACAATGGCTCCCCTGAAAGGGCTCTCAAGGCACCAGTTCCCAGGGGCGAGGAGCTCGACAGCAGCACGATAAGCCCCATGGACTACTCAGACTGCTGTATGTCGCGACCATTGTATAACCACGGAGTAAAACACACGTCTTCGTCTACCTACCAGGCATGAAAACCTGTGGATAAATTTCCAGGCTCCTATATTTTTCTTTTTCTTTTTCTTGAGGAGCCAGCGGGTACCACACTCCAAACCACACACGTTCTCTTCTCACCCATCATCGACGAGAGAGAACCCGCCTGCCTACGCAGACCCGGACGAAAGGGGGCCGCGTAATAAATTGGGGCTCAGTGTGGCGTCACAAATAACGAGGCACTGCGTCAGGGCGCGAAAAAGATTACATGATCTGCGTGCGGCCCAGCTCAGCCATGGCTGCGACCGCTCTGTGCGACTGCCCACCAATGCGAATTACGTTGAGAGCATCGACGATGATGCGGCCGCGGGAAGGGGGCTGTATCATAGCGTTGGTTGCAGGCAACGATCGCGGGCATTTGATCCAATCCCAGGCATGCCACTAGCTGTCCCGCCGTGCGTGAACATCACAAGAGAACAGTGGACGGACATTGGCGGACACACAACATAGGGAGTAGACTTGTTTATATATTGCATTCTGAGACCACATGGCTTTACGCACCAACATGCAGACCCCTCGGGCCGGGCATCGCAAGCAGCCCATCCAACGACGACGCAGCACCCGACGCCATCGCACCAATGCAAGCAAGACAGAAAAACGTCCGACTCACCCGACATCAAAAGCATCTGCGCCCCGGGTTCGGACGCAAGCCCCCCCCATCCAGCCTCCGGCCTCGCGTCTGACATCTGACGTCCCAGCCAGCCCACTGCCCCCAACCCCCCCCTCTCCCCTCCCCTCAAGCCACGGAAACCCGCTGACTTGGGTTCTGCACCCCAAAGATCCCATGCCGATCAAACAAAGGCGTAAGCACAGAGGTGGGCAAATGGAAAGACACCACGTTCCTGAGAAACAACGCCACACTTCCTACATCGCCCATCTGACCACCCTCGGGGACCTTTAAATACCAGCCCTCTCCCCGTGACTATGCCGTCATGCACGGCGTGCCTGGCCTGGCCTGGACCTGTGTTACCTAGAGACACCGCGGAGCCGAGTGCGAACTCGGATCTTGGGCTTTCACTGAAACGTTGGGGGCCAGGAAACCCACCACTGCAGAGCGACGATCCGGGGGAGGTCCGATCTGGACGGCGCCAATGATCGCAGAAGCGCTAAATATTGACTAGCCTTTGGGTATTGTGCCCTACTGCAGGAGGGCAGGTCAGGCGCTCAAAATGTCTTGCATACCTTTGGACGGTCTCCGCACATTGTCAGATGCAGCTAATAATGACACCAAAAACACTGGCTGGCGGGGGTAGGTGACAGGAGAGCGGAATAAGCGCGAGAGATTGGCCGCACGCTCGCCCGCATATCCGGCCGCCGTCCTCACAAAACAACTCGAAGCAAAGGGCTACCAGGTCAGCGGCTTGCGTGGCAAATGCCAAAAGAGCGGTGAATATTCGCAACTCCAAAGACTGGCCCGAAATCCACTGCGGAATATGTGACGGGGCGGGAATTAATGGTGCGGCACTTGTACCAGGCCAACCTAACACTTTAGGCTCGGCAAGCCCCAGCCAGCTCAGAGGAAGAACCGGCCCGAGCCAGGATGAGCCCAGCGGAGGGGGCTAGGGAATCAATGCAAGGGTCTAGAGCTTGACCTCTTGCAGCTTAAAAGGCTGAATTGTTTGCAGAGATCTATCTTAGTGCAGAAACGTGGACCAGGTGGAAAAGGAAGATGTGCTTCGGAGCCGTGGCGCGACAATGCTGGGCACTGCTGCGTTTAGATGGCTCAGCTGAGACTCTGGACCAGCAGCCTGGGATGCGCATGCCACTCGGCATGACGGATCTCGTTACTGTGACTAGGCGCCGTACGTAGCCCGGATTACTGGCCAAAGCGCCAGAGGCCCGCTCTTCTCACTGTATGCTCAGCCAATCGAGGCACCTGTCATAGGACTCGGTCCCAGGCTGCTGGAGCCCAGGGTGCCTGGGGCCTGGGGCCTGGGGCCTGGTCCTTGGCCGGGCGGAGAAGCTCGGGCCCTCGATCGGTTTCAATGCCTAGACTCTTAGATCGCAGCCTGCTTCGATCCGGGCCACACCGAATAGCCGGGACCTGAGACACTGCACGCGGTGTGCGCAGTCTGGAGGTGGATGTCTTGAATATGGCAGAATGGTGCCATGGAACGATTGGGCCTTGATATAGGATATATGTCGCGGCACTGCAGCCACTGTCGCAGCACAGCAGGCAGCGTCCCGCGGCCTCGTGGCACGGGGCCACACGGCCACACAGCGGGAAGGCTTTGTGATACGGCAACGGCTGGACCAGAGCCACTGTTTCTAATGCGACTGCTCAGCAACCGGTCATTACCTGTACATTGTACCGGTGGATAAGTTCAAGGTCCAAGTACCAACCGAGAGGGAGGCGTGGTAAATATAGCAAAGTTGAAGCTTCTCTCACGCGGTAGAACATCGGCAACCCTCTATGTTACGTTGGATAAGATTCGCGCAGAGACCGCGCCGGCGCTGTGGCATCGGAACTCGCGGAAGGCAAAACTCCGGCATCTAGCTGTTGGCAAGACAAGCGACGTCCTTCGAGCGGGATGTTCTGCCGATAATGCAGCATTGTGCGTGCCGATATGGGAGCTGCACCTGCCATGTTGGCTGGCTTACTGCTCCAGGCCGATGTGGCTGGCCGATTTTGGCTTTAGCAGGCAGAAAATTGCTGGTTTAGAATTATCTCTTCAGAGCCAGGTCAGTTGGTGGTGTCGCTGGCGCCAGCAACCCCACTTGTTTTATGATTGCTCCTGCAGGTCCGGGAATTTTAGGTTACATGCGAGTACCTCGCGGATGAGGGTTGGTCGCAGTGGTTGGTGTTTGAAGAAGTTAGTCGTCTACCACAAAAGCTAGCACGGCCATAGCTTTAGGGAAAGCTCTGTGCTGCCCCTGCTTAGGTTCTGTCGAGTCGGGAGTAACACAAATTGACAGTGTCGATCGCCAGGTCGCGGTCATCTTCAAGGTGCACTGTGAATTGCACCTGGAGAACAAGATCAGATGACAGCCTATCCTCAGCGTAGGTTCATCATGCGCAGACGCTCCTCAGGTCGCAATTCGCCACTTGCAACAACAGCACCCGCAGCCGAGTGAGGGTGGAAAGCCTGTACCGTCAGACCCTAAAGATGATGGCCGACCGCGAATGGGATTTGGAATATGCGCCCACACTATTCTTCGGGGATGGAGCCCTCGCAGGGCATTCGGATGAGCTGAGTCTTTAGGTAATGACCCATGGCTAAACATTGCTTTTGTGTGTGCCTGAACGAGACCGTCGCCGAGCTAGACAATTAGTGTGTTGGGGTGTGGAAGCGGAGCCGAGTTTTCGGCACCGGCAAGGAGGCGCCGGCTAGACGCTTTTGGTGCTAGGTTGGAAGAAAAGACAAAGAACAATGTACAGGTGGACTTGTTACGGGGCGTAGGTCCAAAATCGGGAAAGCGGCGGTCTCCTGGGGTCAAACTCAGGAACAGCATCGGCAGTCGAAGACTGGATCTGAGAATGGTAACCATCCAATGTTTGATGTCGAACCAGCTTGAGTTTCTGAGCGCCCCGGCGGTCACAAGCCAGGGAAATGGCGAATTCAAGCGGCCCCTGTCGTCCTGCATGATGCAAGGCACAGGCCCTACTAAGAAACTCTGATGTCGGGGTTCTAGTGGCAGTGTGTGTTGGGTGACATTGTGTGGGTCGAGATAGAGGTCAGGCGACCAATTGGTTGGGTGTCGCCCAGTTCCTTCATCGTCTCTGGCTTGACTCTGAAGGTGCTGTCGTTGTCGATTGGAATAAGCAATCGTTCGACTGTACCAGTCAGAAGGACAGCATCGCATCTGCTGGGTAGTGGGCACGGCCGTGCTATCTACTGCGTCGTAAGTGGTAGGCAGGTGACTATTGACGTCGTACTGTGGGAACGGGAATGCGGAAGCTGAGTCGGATCTCATGCTATGGCGGCAGACTGGTTACTCGGGCGGTGCTCGGTACGAGAATTGAACCGGCGATTGGCGTTGCGAAACTGTAATCAAATCCCCCCAGTAGAATGAATTGGAAACATGTGAACACAGCACGACGTCTTGTCCAATGGCATCTGGAGTCGGGTGTTTCCTGGATGCGGTGATCGGCACCAGAGATGCAGTTCACGCACAATTGAGAATCTATGGACTGCCGAGAGGCGGGATTGTGCGGTTGGCAGGACCG